TGAAACTCAACCCGAGCCCTTACTGGCTCCCATAACACATGTAATGCAATGAGTATAAAATCGGGCATTCCAAGCCCTCGCAATTGATGTTGTAAATTCAATGACCTTTTAAAATAAACCATGTGTCTTTGTTGGATAGCAGAATTTTGGTGTCTCACCGCCAGTTTCGCACACCGATACACTTTTTGGACTTTCACCGGCAGAAGTGTATAAACCAGTAATCAAGTCTTGCACCCGAGATAAAATCTAGCCCTGCTTGCTACTCCTGACACAAGTTTTTCATGCAACCCGTGCGACTCTGTCGAACCTTGATTTGACTATATACCAAGCTCACTTATCAACCACCAAGAATGGTGTTTGATTCAACAACATGCATACACACCCACACTCATGTCAAATTCCCACGAATATGATGTTACCCGTGCAATATACAAATGTAATTAACCTTTGCATTTCATATACTTACGCAACAAAGATTTTAATTACAATTACAATACCATATTCAATATGTCATGAGCACATTATACACAATTCAATATACAACAATATTTTCCATAGTAAATTACATCATAAGCATATAACTATCATTAACAACCTTAATGTCAATATATCATATGCATATATCAACATTTTTCAACATCAAATTTCAAGCATGTTATAACATAATTCATGCAAATAACACATTTAATTCAAATAGACATTTTATCAAACACCTTTAATGCACAAAATTATATAACACATGATGCCCAAATAATCACATTTATCAAGAAATTACAACAAGTAATTTCTAGATACCAAATTTATGCTATAATTGATTTTAATTATTCTTAATACTCATTTTTCACATTTCAAGTACCTATATTTTTCATGAATTTACCAAATAAGTAAATTTTAGAAACTTAATTCATGCAAGATTAGTTTACTTTATTTATACTAAGAGTGCATTAAACAAGAGAATTCATCTCAAGCCAAGCTATTCATATCATATGAAACTCTAGGTTAAAAATAAACCTAATTAGCAAGAGAATCCTTCTACCTCTTAAAGCGTAAACAACGGTAGGAAGCTCCAAGAACCCAAATCAAGCTCTAACCTTTGATTTCTCCAAATTTTGTCTTTTGAACTTCGTCAAAATCCATTTTTTTTTATACATAGGTTTAGCCCTCGTCGTGTAGATGAACTTTGATTCTTCGCTCGAGTCGTTTCAACCAACGTAGAGCCGTAGATTATAAAGAGAAGTTGGAGCTTCCCTCTCTATCTCTTCTTTCTATTTTTGAAATAATCTGATGGGTATGGGGAGAAATTTGATTTTTCTCCCCTATTTATACTCTTTTAATGTTTGGTCCTCATTTCGCCACACGTTCTCCTTTTTTCGGATCTAATTTTGACCTGAATCGATTTAATTTCATCTTAGTTCAAGTTTAAAATATTTTTATATGAACTTTCTTTAAATTATTTTTTAATTTTCAAAATTTAATTTCATATCTCGTTTTTAGGTCGCACGACATCCGATCACCTCGTAAAACGCAAAAAATCCAACTATCTCAGAATTTGACGAAAATTGTCTAGTTAACTAGATTTCGAGAGACGAATCTAATGGTGAGATCCGTTTCGTCATCCGAACTTTAAAAAAATACAGATTTTCAACATGCACTAAAATGGCAAATAATCGTTTTATCCATTTCAAAAAAAATTATATTTATCCGAATTTTACATAACTTTTTTTTAAATAAAGGGTGGACTGACTGGGCTTGGCGAGGAACCCTTGGGCCAGGTTTTAACTGAGTTTTTGAGGTGGGCTATTAGGTTGGATTTTGGGGTAAGTAATGAATTTGGGGGCAAACTCGAACCCTTTTTTTTTAAGGATATTGAACTCGGTCTCAGACGGGCCAACTATCGGACCTATCAGGTTTCGTGCCTATTTTTTTCAAATCAGATAACGGGACCTGTGGATAACCCGACCCATAGACACTCCTAGGGTTTAGGCACATCCGATAAGGTTTTGAATATATTTTTTATTTATAAAGAAATTTAAATAGGATGCATGCATTTAGTATTTTTATTTTTGAATTTTTTCATGTTTGGAGTTGCTTTCTATAATTTGTTATGTCTATCAAAGTTGTCATTATGTTCAAAATAATAATAAAGTACTGAAAAATATTTTGCTGCTATTATACCAACTAATTATTATTAATTTTATATTTTGATTTGAGGTATTTTGTGGTTATTAATTATGAAAATTTTGAAAATAAATTAAAATAATAACAAGTCGGGCCAAAAAATAGAAGCGGATCTAATCGGATAGTTCGGTCCACCCAGGAAGAAGAGAAGTCGTCAGCCAATTCGTAGACGTCCATTACATTTTGGTGTTCAAAGAAACAGCCGAGAGAGAGAAGAAACCAATTCTGGCAGCCATGGAATCGACGGTTCGAAGAAGCGGAGGAGGACTTCTCGAAGGTCTCTACAGAGTCCTCATGCGACGCAACTCCGTCTACGTCACCTTCGTCGTGGCCGGCGCTTTCCTCGGTGAACGGGTTAGGGTTCCGATCTCATTTTTCTCTCCTCACTCACACCCCCACCCTTGTGTTTCATCTATGTATAGATCTGACGTTGTTTGAGAATTATGAAATCTTAAATTTTGAATCCTTTGTATTATTGTTTGCAGGCAGTGGACTATGGAGTACATAAGCTCTGGGACTACAACAACGTTGGGGTATTTTCGACATCCTGTCGTTTAATTTTTATTTTTTTAAAACTTTCCTCCTTTAATGTGTGTTTATTTCGAATTCGATTTATTGATCTAGTTTGCGAATAGATTTTCGAACCACAAGCCCTCATTTCAGACCTAGAGTGCCAAACAGAAAATTTGTTAGATTTCATGAAAATGATTCATAATTGGTTTTGTTGTGATCGTGCAGCAATTATGGTGAGTAGTAAGGAATCAAATAATTAAGAAAGTAGGAGAAAATAACACACAGATATTTACGTGGTTCGGCAATGTGCCTACATCCACGAGAGCGAGCGGCCGTTCTTTTTCATTATTCAAAGTAGGGTTACATCTTAAGTATTTATATAACCCTAATACGGACGTATTTACAAAAATACCCCTGTACCGTACCGCGGGGGCGTTGCCCCCGCACCCCCAACTAATCAACGTCCCCTTCATATAAATGCCGTCGCAAGCTCCGACATTTGCCTCCTTGCCATTATGCACATAGTAAAATATGAGCCACACATACTCTAACAGGTTTACACTGTGGAAATGTTATGATTGGTAATGCGGTGCTCGTGATGTTTACCTATTGTAAAGTTAAGGATGTATCATGCTTTTTGCAAGTAAGCTAACGCTGTATCTAAACAATTGTCTTAAAGCTTGCCTCAAATTCAGTATAATCGAGACTACCAACTTAACTGGTTTGAGTTGCACGCGTTTTCATCTTGTTTGGCTTTGTTTATCATCATTAGCATTCACAAATGGGACATATACTGAGAAGAACTCTAGAACTGATCCAAAAGTGTATTCTTCTGCTCATACTTGATATTGCTGGTGTGGAGTTCTTTCAGGCCCAATAATAGCTAGAATGATACATATCTTAAAATCACGTTAAAATGGACAGATCTTTTTGGATATAAAGTGGAGCCTAGGTATTTATAAATTGTTGTTGTTAACTTAAGAGTGTTATATCCTGTGATAAGGACGGGGTTGCAGGAAATGTATGTAGGCCCATTCAATGTCTAATTTATGGGATTTTTTAAATGTAGGGGTTTATTTGTTTTTTAAAGCAGGGAGATAGTGATTGTATGAGAGTGAAACGATGGATATCCTTGTGAGCAAGGGCTGTGCATGTTACATGAGTATTTGCTTTGTGATTTCCAATTGTTGTGGGTAAATTTGAGGTGGGAGATGATAGATAAACGTTGAGGTGGCTCAGTATTATCACCTCTTCTAAGTAGTGGGTTTTTTCTTCTTTTTTTTTTTGTGGTGAATATTGCACCTTTACTTTGGGTGGACATAGGGGAGTTGTATTCTAATGTGCAAAAGTGAATGTTGCAAGGAGAGGGATTTTGGGAAAACAAATAAGAAATGAGACTTCATTTCATAGAAAGTAGGATTCAACACCATCTTTTCAAGGATAAGTTGCTGAGATTAATTTGTATTATCGTTAATAATGTGGTGTAGTTGATGGAACTTGCACTAGGGCTCTTGTAAATTAGCAAAAGAGGAGGTAAAAGAATAGAAAAAAGTAAAGAGGATGTAAAATAGACATCTAGTAGAGGGAAAAGAGAGAGAAAAGAAAATAAGATAATTGATGTAGGCTCAAAGCGTCTTCGAAGTGTTGGACTTAAATGCATTCTTTTGCTTCCTTTTGGGAAGTAATTGCTGCAAGTCTTCTGATTTTCAATGGGTGGAATGAATATTTATTGCACATTATGCTTTAGTCCTTGATTTGCAGACCATCTTAACAATTGAGTTGAAATAACAATCTGATGATAGAGCGGCAACCCTAGTATGAAAAAAGAATAAAACAATGTGCGATTCTTTTTTTCTTTGCAGACATTTCCCCAGAACTATTTTATCGATTTGCGAAATTCATTTACTTACAACCTAATATAATTCTTGGGCACCTTGAAAAAACAACGAACTGAAAAGACCAAAACAATATCAAAAAGGTAATTTAGTAAGTCTTTTGATTTCTGTGTGTGTGTGTGTGTGTGTGTTCGGTCTTCTAACCAAGCCGAGGTGTTGGATTTGTTTCGAGGATCATGGCTTTCTAGACCTTACTGCTTATTCGTTATATTAAACATTGGGCCCGGAACCACTAAGTCTGATACTGGAATTAAAGTAGGAGGCTTGGGTGATAAGGTTGTCCATAATGTTATGTTTGTGGGCTCAGGTTTTGTATCCAGCAACCCAACCTACACTAGGGGCATCCATCCTTACATTTCCTGTTCAGAAGCTGAATTGAGGTTTACGGAGTAAAGAAGATTTAAATTCTTGTGGCTATAGGCTAAAACTGATTTGGAATAAAAGAAAATGGTAGCTAAAATTCTTGTGCAGCAGGGAAAATTGAGATCGGCTGGTAGAATGGCAGTAGGAGATGGGAGTTATTAAGAGTTTGTATTTTTTCAAATTTAAAGCAACACTACAACTAACAATGAAGAAAGGAGTGAAAGAACAAGGAGAAGATAAAGCAGAGAATCTTGCTAAAACCCATGGCGCCACTACAGGACCAAAAAAATTCCTCCTGATGACTTGGCATTTGATCATCAGATTTTTAAAAATAATTGGGGAAGGTCGTGTCATATTCCATTTGGAGCTTGAGATATAAGATTTTTATTACTATTTCTGTGATTTGTTTTTGGGTACAAAGCTTCTTGTGCATAAAATTAACCACTGTACATGAGCAGCATACATGTGTGCATTTGCTTCAGACCATATTTTGATGGTTTGACAGGGAAAAGTTTGTCCACTTGCTTGAATTATATGTTCAATATTCGGCCATGTTAATTAAGTTATTGGCACACCCCAAACCTTTTCTCTCTTTCCTCAGAAAGTAGCTAAATGTCGGATTTTGTTTACTGAAATTTACCTGTAAACTTCTCTGCCGCCTTCAAATCAGAATTTGGTTTACTTGACAACTTGCAAGCATGCCTGGTGTTGCCAAATATTATCTTTTACATTGTTAACTTTGCGTTCTGTAATTACAACTGGGTATGCAAAGAATTTATGGCAACAGAAAAATGGCAGAAATTATCGAGGAATGCACATTTATAACTCCGGCACATGAATTATTACAACTGACTAAGTATGATTGTTGTGTTCTACCATTCTGCTGGCCATGGTGCATAGTTAAATGTTTTGCAGTTTCATTCCATATCCTCAAATTTTAGCTAATTAGAATTAAATGTATGACCATCAACTTTCTGGTTAGTATATTGTTTTGTGAAGCCTTCATGAACTCACTCTTTCTTGGACCTCTGATCATTTTTAAACAAAATTTGTAATTGTTGTAATGCAGAAGCGGTACGAGGACATTCCAGTTTTGGGACAAAGGCCATCTGAATAAATTACCAGTCTCTCTTGTTCTTTTGGGGTCGCTGGTTTCTTTTTTAGAATCGAAAGACATCATGTATTGATCTTTTAATAAGCATTGATTTTCAGGTCGTTTTCTGGGCGAAACTTAAAATACCTAGTTAATTGGAATTTGTGACCGGAGTTATTTCTCGTTTTCCTGCATTTTGGATTCTTTCAGTTGAAAATGATGTTACAAAGCTGGTTGAATAACTTTTGGTTTAACTCTCTTGGTTTCATGTTTAATTCACTCGTGAAAATGTGCCACAAAACACGCCCGCTTACTGGACGTTATGCAATTGAGAACCCAAATCCCAATAATTTATGTACATTGGTAGTAGAGTAGCCAAAGGTTAATGCAAGTTCACCAATTATATCTATAGATTATTTTGTTATCTTGATACTTCCAACTAAGAAATTACCTGATGATTATTGTTAAGGTAATGATTGATTTTGCATGCTCTTTCTGTTTGTGTTTTGTTAGCTTTTTATTTCCATCTCTTTAGGACTTGGTATAAGGATCTGTTTTGATTTTATGGTAATATTAGTTATTGTATGTGCCGAGTAATAAAAAAAAAAAGGTAACATTAAATATATTTATATTCACATTAAAAATTAAATTACAAATATAGAGGAGAGAGAAAGGATTTTAAGTACCGATTATAGTAGGAGCGAGAGATAGTAGTAGTGGTGGCAACGGTGGTGGGATGGTATGGTGATGACAGCGATGGTGATGGTAAGGGGCGGTGGTAGTGGTGATGGTAGTGGTTGAGGTGGTGACATTGGTGGTTGTGGGGTGGCGACAGTGGAGGTGGTAGTGGTATTGGTGATGATGGTGGGGGGAAGTTTGGCGGTGGGGTGGCGGTGGTGGTGGTGGTAGTGGTAGAGTGGTTCTAAATACTATTTTTTTTAAAAGTATTTATGAGAAATTATAAGTATTAAAATACTTTTAAAAAGTCACCATAAACACACTCTTAGGACACTATTTTTCTTATTAAATTTAGAGTGTTAATATTAGTTGTCGGATTAACTTTAAAATAAAATTGAAAAAGATCTCAACCGCAAATAGCAAAAGTCATTTTGTTTATATTTTTGAAATTTGAATTGTATTATAATAAAAGAATTTATAAATATTAAAAACATTTTTAAAAAGTCACTTCAAACACACTTTTGACGACCTATTTTTCCTATTAAATGTATAGTGTTAATATTAGTCGTCAGATTAACTATAAAATAAAATTAAAAGAGATCTCAACCACAACTAACAAAAGTTATTTTATTTATCTTTTAAAATTTAAATTTTATTGTATTTTATTATATAAATTTTATTCATCGAACTTGCCAAAATAAAATAAAATTTATTGTAAGTTGTAAAGCGGAGATATTCAATGGAATTTACCACCGTAGAAGAATAGGGCCAGGCGAGAAGGAGGCCCACAATTGATTATATGTATTGCGGATAAGATTTTGTTTAATTGAGTTGTGTGAATAGTTTTCTCAATCACTCACTGCCCATAACTACAATAAGGATAATTGAATTCATAAAAATTAATTTATCTTTAATGATATAATTAGTAATTTTATAAAATAGACAGTGACATAATATAACCATAACACGAGACAATGGCATATGATAGTGATAGTGAAAGAGACAATAAAAGTTTAAATTTCACGAAAAATTATTATCCAAATTCTGATGTTCGAATTTAAAACAAGTTTTCTCAATACTAAAGAAATTATGCACAATGTAGAAATTATTTTCTCAATACGAAACATTTATTGTGTTTGAGTAACTTGAGTTTGAAATAGAATTTGAGTTATTAAATTTCTAATGCATTTCAGTGAACACTATTTTGGCATCCCCAGAGCATGGAGATATGTCCGAGCAACAACAGAGTCGTTGTTGGTGATGGAGGATGATACAACGCCGACAAAGAGAGCACTGTAGGAAAAAATAAGAAAAAAGAAAAAAAATAGACTATCAGACGTATTTACCAAAAAAATACATAACATATAAAATGATGTATTGACGAAATAAATCCCCATGGAGCAACAAATGGTTGGTCCAGCTCAGCCCATCCCATCATTGCGGTGATGGGAAAGAGATAATGGGATATAAATAGGGTGTTAAGTGTGTCCGGTTAAACAGTTACGTATCGGATTAAACGGGTGACAAGTAAAAAATATATAAATTCGTACACGACATGTTTAATAAACGGATAAAAAATCTCAATAAGAACACGATTCATTTAATAAACGGGTAACACGACACGACTCGTTTAATTTGTTTACTTTTTAAAAAATTATATTAACAAATTTTAATATTCAACTTTTTTTTATTGTCAATTACACTTTACGTCAAAAAAAAAGAAATTTTTAATTAAATCTCATAAAAATAAGACTTGAAGACTTAAAACAAAATAAAATAATAGGTCATTACTTTTTATGGGCAACTCAACCCTCCTCATCTCCTCTCATTTTTTAATGTGAGACAAAAAAAAGGCATTGGTTTACTTTTTGTCTTTGAAGTTCTCCTCATCTCCTATCTTTTCTTTTTGAACTATTACTTTATTTTTTTTATTGATTTATTTACTTTTTTTTTTCTTTCAAATTTTTTTAAATAATTATTAATTTATTATTATATTAATTTTATTTAAACGGATAAACGTGTGATAAACGGTTTGATAGGTCTCACCCAACACACAACCTGTTTTATTAAACGTGTTTAGTGTGTCAAACCTATTTATCACCCAAACCTATTAAGATCTCACCAAAACCCGCTTAATTCTTGTCGATTCGTGTCGGTTAATTATGTCGTGTCGAATTTTGACAGCCATAGATGTGAGTACCTTTTTCAAAACTTATTTGGTTTTAAGTACCACCTCCAAACTTATTCTGCTTTAAGTCTTCTTTTTCATCAAATAGTTGTAAATAAGTACACATTTTCAAATTCTTGCTAAAATGTATTTCATAATTACACCTATCATAAATAATGCATACCTATTTGAATGTAAGACTTTCAAAATTAAAATGTGAGACTTTCAAAATTCCTTTTGATATTTGTGTATCATTTGAATTTTGAAATTTCATATATATATATATATACACACACACACGTGCGCGCAATACAATGACATCAAACAGTGACACGCTCAACAAAAAAAGAGTAATATCAAATAGTGACACACTCAATAAAAATATTTGTGTTACTGTTTGATGTTACTATTTTTTTGTTAAATGTGTTACTGTTTGATGTTACAATTTTTTTGTTGAGTGTATTATTATTTAATATTACTCTTTTTTTATTGAATGTGTCACTATTTGATATCACTGTATTACGTGTGTGAGTGAATATATATATATATATATATGAAATTTCAAAATTCAAATGATACACAAATATAAAAAAAAATTTAAAAATCTCACATTCTAATCTTGAAAGTCTCACGTTTAATTAATTATGCACTATTTATGGTAGGGGTAAAAGAGCTTTTATGACTTTTTTTTTAAGATATGTACTTCTATTCCAACTATTTTAAAAAATATATTTTTGTCCTATTAAATTTTTTGAGAGGTACCGGGCTTCTTAAGCCCCTTGGAAAATCATCGGTGGACCACTTTAGGCCCTTTACTAGGCTGGAGCATGACGGATCGAAGAGTAACATTGGACCCAGCCCATGTTCTTCTCGCACGTGGCAGGAACTGTACCTCACGTGATTAGGGTTGTAAACAAATATAGAACGCCTAGCTCTGCTGAACGCTCATCGGCAGTCACAAACCCTAACCCAGAGTTTTCATCTCAGGTGCTCTCTCTCTCTCTCTCTCTCTCTATGATTTTGCAGTCTCAATAGGTCAATTCTCTAATAGGAGATATTGAAGAAATGGGTGTATAAGTTCTGTTCTTTCTTTTACTATTTTGAGCATTGACTATGGTTTCGTTCTTGTACAGGTGAAATCTGAGGGAAGGAAAAATATAATTTCCTAACAATGAGGTAGGTTCCTTTAACGATTTTCTTTTACTCGATGATTCTTTTGTTTTTCTGTCTGTTCTGTGTATATCCCTCCATTCAGTGGTCACAGATTTTGAGCCTTTTTGATCTTTTCACATTTTTTTTTTTTTTGGGGAAATCGTTAGTGATTCTTTGTCCTTTCATTGTCTTGTCTTTCTTGTTCTTCAGTAAGCTTCAGAGTGAGGCATTGAGAGAAGCTATCACTCAAATCTCTAATGATGCCAAGGAGAAGAAGCGTAATTTCACTGAGACTATTGAGCTGCAGATTGGGCTGAAAAACTATGATCCCCAGAAGGACAAGCGTTTTAGTGGTTCTGTGAAATTGCCTCACATCCCTCGTCCCAAGATGAAGGTGTGCATGCTTGGTGATGCTCAGCATGTGGAAGAGGTAATTCTGCTTTGAATTATGAATTTATGAGAGAGAATAAGCATAATAATATATATTTGATAGGTTGAATCTGATGTTGCCTTCTGTCATTTCCATATTGATTGGATGATTCAAATTGGAACTAAATGTTGCCTTACTAATCCCTTCCCCTCCTACATTGTGTATTGGAATGCCCAAATATAAGTAGTAAGCGGAATCTTACTTCTGTTAAATAAGTTACATCATGTTTTTTGGGAGTCGAAATATTTACTGCTCTTGATCGCTGTTTAATAATGGGCAAATTTGATGTAATCATATGTTTCGAGATTTTTTTGCCACTTATTTGTTTAGATTATGTTAAGTGAAAAATGGGGTATTGCCTGGTCTTTTATTTGTTTTATCAGTTTCAGGGTGTTTGATTTCAATACAAATACTGACGGAAAATGTATTGCCAGAACTTTACTTTAGTTTCTTCTTACAACTATTAAGTTTCTCAAGAAATTTGTGCTTCAATCTGATGCACTATCTCTTTTCGGGTGTATGTATTAAATGTTCATCTTCTTTTGTCATAACAGGTTCCATAACTTTTATTTAAAGTTGGGCTCTTGCATGTGTTTTATTTTGAAGTTATTTGTTCTAATCTCAATTGCAGGCAGAAAAGATAGGTTTGGAATACATGGATGTTGAAGGGCTAAAGAAGCTTAACAAAAACAAGAAATTGGTTAAGAAGCTTGCGAAGAAATACCATGCTTTCTTAGCTTCAGAAGCTGTCATTAAGCAGATTCCCCGTCTCTTAGGACCCGGTTTGAACAAGGCAGGCAAGTGACTTGTATCGCATTACTTCGATTTAGGTTCTCCTTTCCTAGTTATTTTGACAATATTTACTTCTGATATTATGCTGTCTTTGGAACACCAAGGTTAGACAAGGAATGGCAATTAACAAATCTAGTATCAGTTGTGATTACTATTTTTCGTTGGTGTGGATGCCTTGTTGATTGGTAGTTTCCGTTTTGTGGACAATTTCCCTTGAACTCAGTATGATTTTTAAATTATTTTATTGAGGTTCAAAACAATTTCATTGTGAAATTAAGTAGAGAATAAGCTAGAATTGTTATTATTCATCTCTCTGCTTGTCCATTTGCCTTTTCTTTTGGGTGCTTTTGTTGGAGGATAGTTACTGTTTGGTTCATTGTGATCATAACATGCCTGGCCGCCAAGCTTCTTTGGTTTCCCAACTCACAGGTCAACAGAAGTCTGATTCAAGAAAATTTTCAAATGTTCAGTTCGTCCAAATTATGCTTAGAAATGCGATATATCCATATTGATTAGAACTTCACATGCATGAATGGCAGGTTGGGGTTCATAATTCCACTTTGTTGCTATGCCTAGCATGTATTTCTCATGTTCAATAATTGATCAGTTCATCATGTGAACCAGTAGGCCAGCCTGGTCCCTGATTATGTATGGCTCTATTAAGAAGTTGGATGCCAACTAGAGTGTTTCTACACCAGAACCATATGATCTTCTCGACAAGTATAAAATATTGATATTATTCTTTGATATTATTTCTTGTGTGATGAGCTTTTTAATTTTCATTTGATTTTCCTTTTGATCCCTTCTAACTTGGTGTTTTTACCTGCTGGAAGGTGTTTCTTTCCTTGGAAGTTTTAACGACATCGTGATTGGGTGTTTCTAAATGTATATACATCTAGCAAAGCCTTCTATCTAAATGTAGTCGATGCGACTCTGGACCTGGACTCTTGGTGTAACTAGTGTCATTCCAACTAGATTGGTATGAGCAGTTTCAGTGGTGGAAACTGATTTTGTAGTTGTTTTGGACACAACACAGACCGACAAAGATAAGGTCCAACATATGTGTAGATAGAGTTCTTTGGTGTAATTTGGAATGTATTCCTTTGGATTCTGCTATGGGCTATACCCTTGTTTTTTCATTGTGTATGATGAGATTTTGAAGTTCATTTTCCTGGTTTGAACTGCTGTATTTCTTGCTGTGGTTTCTGTCTCAATAGTTTGTTTCATCTGAAAATGCAGGGAAGTTCCCTACCCTTGTCAGTCATCAGGAATCCCTTGAGTCTAAAGTTAATGAAACCAAGGCCACAGTTAAGTTTCAATTGAAGAAGGTGCTCTGCATGGGAGTTGCTGTTGGTAACTGCAGCATGGAGGAGAAACAGATATTTCAAAACGTACAGATGAGCGTGAATTTCCTTGTTTCATTGTTGAAGAAGAATTGGCAAAATGTGAGTTTGTTCTCAGGTTTTCTTGTTAGGCATTTGTACTAAGAATGTGATACTGAAGGATGGAAGCATTCCTTTTCAATTTTGTTGTGAATATTATGCTCTACTCAATTTTTTTGGAACAAGATCAATTTTTTTCTGACTAGGAGTAAAGAGGCTGATGCTGGCATTTTGAGTATTATTTTTTTGCTGATAGAAGCATTTTCTGTGATGGAGGAGATCATTCTGTTGCAACTTGCGTTCACATTATTTTGGAACTATCAGAAGATTGTTGTTTTGTCCATCGTTTCACCCCATCATTTTTATTGATTACTGAATTTTCTCGCTTGAGCCTTACTTGGATCTGAACTCGATGCTTATTAGATGGGTTTTCTTACAATTAATCATGCTGCTGTTTCTCTAACAGCTGTGAATGGGATCTTCTGTGGGCTTTTCTCAGGAAACTTCTTGTCAGTTACTATATATGGTTTAAGTTTGTGCATTTAGTTGACACATACTTGGATGCCAAGTTGAGTTGCTCCATAAGACCACCATCGTAATCTAGTTATTGTTGGAATATATTCATACTAATTTTTTAGCTGTCCAAGGAATTACAAACTTATGTGATGTTGGCTGTGTTTTCCTGGCAATCAAGCTTGACAGACATGATTTCTGGTAATTGTGCGAAGAATTGAGCTTTGTTTGTTCATATTCATACCATGCACTAACTTTGTTGTCAATTTCATTTTTTGGGGAATGTGATTTCACTACCGAAATGGAGCATAATACAATCAGTGATCATGTGTTCGCTGTACACCTTATGTAATTAATTGTTCACCGCAATATATCTCACTCCATTTTTTGGGTAAAATATATCATTTCATTTCATCAGCTCCTTTCATGCGTTAATTAAATTTTTTGGTTTGTTGCAAATCAGGTGAGATGCTTGTACCTGAAGAGTACCATGGGGAAGCCGGTCCGCATCTTCTAAGGAGTTCTATTTTGTTTTAGCTGTTCAACGAGAATATTTGTACGAGCTACATTGTTAAAAGTTCCCGAGAATGGGATTTTTTCTTTTTGGTTAGCTACTATGTTGTTGCTGTGACTGTCTTGAATGCGACAAAGATCATATTGGTTGTTTTGTTTAATTCCAATTTTGAGATGAACCAGAATCATGATGTTTTCTGCTCTGCTTTACCCCGTAGCTTAATCCTTTTACTGTGTTTTTCTGATTCATTTATTAGTGCATAAATGCTTGGGGTACTTGGTCTAACCTATCTAAGGCTTCCCCCTCTCCCTCCAGAAGTGCAAGAAGGTCGGCTATAGTGCTCACTTTTGCATGACTATGCCTGTGTCGAATGTTTGATTGTGGAGTTTGCATCTTTGCAGCTATTCCAGCCAATATGAATTGGGCTGAAATGCTTCCTGATTATTGTAGACCTGTTTGGTTATAAAAGAGAAGCCAATTTTTGGCCTTGCCATGTTGATGTAGTGGGTTGTTTTTGTCTCTTAAAAGAAATTTGCAGGTTAGGATTTAAAGGTCTATTATGATCCTTTGCCATGGCGACTGCATCTCTGCATGGATTTGCGGTGGATTGCCTACAAGTAACAAGGTAAGATCAACTCTGATACCAAATGTCAGTGATGGGCTTTACACGACGGATTTATGACTCAAAAAACGTGTGCACGAGTGCTGCAATGAGAACTTATACAAGTCATTTTGGATGGGTAAATAGTTTACTAATTAAAAGCTTTTTGTAGGGAGCATTTTGGTTTTCTTAAAGATGATTTGGAACCATTTTGGTTCTTATGTATTTTTGTGGATTTTCCTCAGTATTCAGCTATGCATATTTTATGGTGTACAACAATTTTACGTTATTACAGTATGTATCAACTATTAGAGAATCAATGTTGGTTAATTAGGCTAGATCCGATTCACTTAGTTATGAATCTTGTAGTTGTCTTTGACGGATTAAATTTGTACGAATAAGGAATTGGGATATACCTATATTATTTGAAATTCACATTACATACCCTCTAGTTTGGTGTTGAATTTTGTAGGCTGTCTTATCGATGATGACCAGGTGATGAAGTGTAAAATTGGGGCTATTTTTACGTCATAAATTTTTATTTTCACCCCCATTTAGTTTTTTATTATCGAATTACTAAGTCCATCTTTTTTGTATCCATCCTATTAATAACTAAACTCACCAAATATTACATACACTCCTTTTAATAAGTAAACTCATTTTATATTTTGCGTTTTATTCTCTATCTCATTTTGTACACTTAAAAAATATTTTTTCAATATGAATTTTTTTAGTGAGATACAAGTTAGTATTATTTCTCAATTGAATTATATATTTGATTTTATGTTTGTTATATGAATTTTCATTATTTTCGATATGTTTCGATATGTTAGTAGATTCTTTTTTTTTTTTTCTTGTTTTGTTCTTTTCTTTTCTCTAGTTTCATCATGATTGGTTTTTTTTTTCTTGTTTTGTAAATATATTTATGCATTCAAATTAATTGATTTTTTTTATTAAAAAGATATAAATAGAATGAGTAAACTTAACTATTAATGAAGTGTAATGTAATATGAGGTGAGTTCAGTTATTAATGTAGTAAGTATAGAAAGAGTGAATTTAGTAGTTTGATAATAAAAAATTAAATAGGGTGGCAATGAAGATTTGTGGTATGAAAATAGTCGCATCTTTTTTTTTTTAGTCTAAAACGCCTATTGTGCTCTTTTTAGCCTAAAATCCCCATTGTGTTCTTATGCTATCAAATATTAAATAAAGTTGATCAAAAAAAAATTATTAAATAAAGAAAACCTGGAAAAAATATTTCAAGGGCCAGACTCAAATAAGAAATGGCTAGGCTAGCAATAAATTCTGAGCCCAACTCTCCATTGTATCTATTTGACTTTGCCAGTCCCAGTGCATCTGAATATCACGTCATCGTAACAACGGGCGGAGCCCGAATCCCTCGTTAGTTGGGGCTAAACAAAAAAAAGGTAAATAAACGCCCACCCACTGGTATTAAAATTACAAGTTTTTAAGGAACAAATTACTGTATGAAATATAAAATTGATATTAATAATATGTCAAAGCAAAACATAATTTTGTTAAAATTGAAAAAATCATCTATAAATAATTTTATGTACGATTTCAGTAGATTTCTTTTAATGCATATAATCAAAGAGTTCGTTATAGTTAATTTTGTTATAAAGTTTACTTGAGATCCACTTACATTTTGTTAAGATATTGATTTTTTTTTTTAAATAAAAAAATATTCTTTTGGGTCAGTAAATTATAAAATTTTCCTCTCTTCATGTTTTACTGAGTTAAACGCTATTAACTTTAAAAAAAAAAAAGGTTAAGGGTGACTATACGATTACTTTTACAAGTTAGGGCAGTATAATAATATGTACAAGGATTGGGGAGAATCCAAAACGAAAGTATTTATTTCATCGATCAGGCCATCAATGAATCACTAATTTACCAAAAAGTAAAGATATGAGCCACTATATATACTTTAAACAAATTAAGGGGTAATACATTAATTTGAAGAAAGTCATATGAACTTTCAAAAAAATCAAAGGGGCAACATATTAATTGGAAGAAAGTCATGCATTTTACAAAAATATGTATATGTAAACTATTGGGTGGTCAATGGAGGCATTTGCGCTTGAGTCTTACATCAGAAATTTGCATATGAAATTTTGTGTATATATGCAGAAAAAATAACCCCAAATAATATTTATTAAATAGTTTTTGGGGTGAGTTCTCATAATCTATTAAATAAAATATAAAATAATTTAAATATCAAAAAATAATAACTCTTGTTTTTTACGGTTAATTTTTTTTTAAATATTACTTTAAAATTAATTTAACGACTAATATTAACATCCTAAATTTAATAGAAAAAATAGACCTCTAAAAATGTGTTTGAGATATGTTTTAAAATTGTTTTTAAGATTTATAATATCTCATAACTATTTAAAAAAAATTAGTGTTTAGAAACGTCCTACCATCACTCTCACCGCCCATTACCACCATCACCACTACCATCGCTGCTGCTGCCACTCTATCACCATCACTGTTACTGCCACCCTATCACCACCACCTCTGTTGCCACCCCACCACACTACAGCCCCATCATAACTCATCGCCCCCACCATCACCGTCGTCGCAACTAGGGATGGCAGTGGACCAAAGTGGGGCAGGGGATCTAGTCTCCATTCTTGTACCCGCTTAAAAAATTTTCGTTCATCTCTAGCCCACCTCCGTTAACAGATATAGTTTTTATCCATATTCCCGTCCGGAAAGTAGATTTATAATTCGAACCCCTGCCTCCACTTTTGCCCCCACCCCCGTCCACCTCACCTGCCAAATTCAAGTCAACATAATCTAAAATTTTAAATAAATCTAACATTCTAAATAATACAACATAATTATAGAATATTATAACACAATTAAAAATTATCATTTACAACATAATATAATTAAAACCTTGACTACAATATAATCCAACTTAATATAATTAAAAGTTTTTTTCTCTTATAAATCCAACAGGGGTGGCTTAACAACATTTGATGCCTAAAGCAATGACGGTTAATGATACTTTTATATTTTTTTAATAATAATTTAATTTTTCAATTTAAAATTTATTATTTTTACTTTTTGATGATATTCGAAATTGAAATTTTTTTTATTTAAATTTTGCTAATATATTTTTTTAATTAATAATATGACTTTTGATCATAAATATTTATAGGAATAAAATTAATTTCTTCATTAATATTTTTATGTTATTTTTATTTGTTTTATATATTCTTTATCAAAACTGTGGAATTAAATGATTAACTTTATTAAAAATAAATGCATTATTATCTTTCTTTTGAAATATTTTACTATCTTTGAATTTTATTTATTTATTCATGCAACTTTTACCTAAATTTTTGTTATATTTTATTTGTTACGAATAAGAATTTTATCAAATAATTTTTTTTAATGAGAATGAATGATTTAATTAGTGTTTTGCGTTCAAATGAAAAAAAAAACAAGTTTAAGAGAAGTAAACAATATGTTTGGTTTGATATGTTTTTTTTTTTTGACTAAAGAGAAATACTTATTACATTTCTTTCGATTGAAAAAGCGATAGATTTTGTCAGAATTTTTTTTCTTAATCTTTTTTGTCATTTAATAATGTGATTGTGTCAGGAGTTCTGAACTTTTAGGTCCAAATTTTTAAATTTTTTGTTGGTTTACTCTTTCAAAAATTAATTTTTTAGGCAATATTGTAGTAGATTTTATTTTTTAACTTATATTATAGTATTGATCTTTAAATTTGGAGTCTTTTTCGTATGTGGGGCCTAAAGTCCCCGTTTTTATTTTTATAACAGTCGGTCCTGAAATCTAACACAATATCATGTAGCACAACATAATGTAACATAACATAATCTAACATAAAAAAATATAAAAACTCAAAGATATACACTTTTACAACCCAAAACTATAAACAAAAAAGATCAAAAAACAATAATTTTCAAAAGAAAAAATTATTCAATAATATATAGATTTTGTATTCACAGCATCATGTATATATATAAAAAATAATAATAACAATAACGGGTAAAGTGGGACGAGAGAGGGGGTAAGTGTCAATCTATCTTCACCTTCATCCTTGTACGAGTATTCTCATATATGTTCACTGTTCAATACGTATGATATGGTTCATCTCTTATCCAAATGGGACGAGTTTTGACGAATACCCATTTATATTAGGTCTACTACCATCCCTAATCGCCACTACCGCCACCACCAACCCATCACCACTTTTGCCACAATAATCACCACATCGTCGCCACCACCCTACTACCTCCCCACCACCACCATCCTCACTACCACCAATCCCACCACCACTGCTACTGTCTCAGTATCACCCTTACCACCATCTCCACACCATTAGCAATACCACCGTCGTTACCACCGCCATCTCACCACCACCATCGCCGCCATTGTCCCACCTCTACAACCACCCCACCGCCAACCCCACCACTACTATTGTCACCTACCACCATTGTTACCACTATCACCCACTATTATCGTCATTTCATTATTATATTTATTATCACTATCACTATCATATCATTACTACCGTCAGCACCTACCACCATCATTGTTGCCCATCATCACC